ATTCATTAGATATCATTATTGCTGCCTAACTTTCCTGCCATTTCTTGACAAATAAGAGTTTTAGCTGAAAGAGAAAATAATATAGAATGCATATTATATGCATATATCCAAATTAGGACAGACCTACCTAAAATGATAAAATGAATAAATTCTTAAAATGCAGTTCTGAAAATCTCTTCTTAGCTGCTGCCTGAAAGTTTGACTCTTTCCTGCTCAAGCAGAGAAGCACATTGGTTTTGCGATGTTGAACTAGTCATCACTGAGTTTGAGAAAAAAGTAGTAATATCTTCTTCCAGGTGATAGTAGAATAATTTGAGTACTTTCCCAGGAAGTGAGAGGGACAGAGTTGATTTCCTTTTGTTTCATGGAGGATTCATCACCTTCCACTTAGGGATACAGGGATGTGGATTCTGGGTCAGAAAAATATGTCTTTATATTTCATCTATATCAGTCATTCAGTCAAATAAACCAGTGTGCCCTGGAGAAAGCAGTGGAACATAGATGTGTCCTTCTCCAGGTAAATGTCCTGAACAGTAGACTCGGGAACTAACTTTCTTCTTGTTCTTTTCTTTCCTTAAATCTTGAATTCTTTCCTTACAATGTCTAGAGCTCCCATTCAGGAATGTGACATTATGGGCTTACATCTTATTCTTCCAAGAAATACAACAGTATTTTTCCAGTCAAGATATATAAATATCTCTTCCTAGTGTATTTATTTTAATAATTTTCTGTATATGGTTCACTGTAAGTATAAATAAATGATGGAAGAGATTAAGAATTTAACTATTGTGTTACATTACACACAGACTCTTACTTGAAACTGCAGTGTGTTTTTTCTTCTTCGAGCCTGCTAGGCTAGAATTGTTTTTTCCTTTGTTGTGGAGGGAGAATGAGGTGAGTGACTCAGGGAAGATCACAGAAACATTCAATCGTTCACATTGGAAGGGGCCTCTGCGGGTCTTTTGGTCCAGCCTGCTCATGGACGAGCCAGCTTAGATCAAGGTGCTCAGGGCTGTGTCCAATTCTCCAAGGGCGGAGAATGCTCAGCCTCTCTGGACACCTGTCCCAGAGCCTGACCACTCTCACAGTGAAGGATTTTGATCTTGTATCTAACTGGGATATACCTTGCTGTGATTTCTGTCTGTTGCTTCTTGTCCTTTCTCTGTATACCTCTCTGAAGAGTCACTCAGCTTTTCCTTCTATGTGCCCAGCCTCTTATCTGTCTTGGGAGCTCTCACCTGGACTAACTCCAGTTTTTCAATCTCTCTCTTGTATTTGGGGACCAAAAACAAGACATTTGCCTCTTATCTGTCTTGGGAGCTCTCACCTGGACTAACTCCAGTTTTTCAATCTCTCTCTTGTATTTGGGGACCCAAAACAAGACATTTTTCCAGACGTGGTCTTGGAAGTTCAGAACGGAGCAGAAAAATCACTCTCCTTGGTCCGCTAGCCACTTTCTCTGTTGCCTGGAGGACTTTGGTGACCTTAGCGATGCTCTTTTGTAAAAATGAATGATGTTCAGATTCCAGCTCAAAATCAGATGCATCATAGATGCTTCTTGGGAAATGTTTGTACCAAGTGTTACTTTATTCTGCAGATGTGCCATCATGAGCACTTTTAACAAACATTACCAAAGTGGCCCAGAAATGCACATTTACATGCAGCACAAGGACTCTCTTGAATCAAATTCTATAACAGGTGTCAGATCTAAGCTGTACTCTTTCCTTCTTTAACGGAGAAAATTCAAATCATTAATAGGATAGATGATGAAGGAGAATTTGTGTCATTTAACACTCAGGAACCTAGCCAAATTGCATTTATTGCTAGCAATTCTAAAAGGGCACTGAAGGTCCTGTGTTATGAAGAAAAGGATATTTTCCATTTACTGAGCTGCAGCATAAAATTACTTTGTGAGGGGAGGTCCCATGCAGTCTGTCTGTCTTACATGGCTACTGATTTGTGATCACCTCTAAAGCCCTTCGTTGCCAGCAGAGGCCAAGTAGATTAATGGGTAAGTAAGTCTGGGATAAGCCTGAGTATTAAGAGCAACTATGCCATGTGAGATCCAAGATCCTTCTAGCACATCTTCTCTTTGACAGCAGACAACAGCTGATACTTGAAGATGATCAGAATAAAACAAGTATGACTTCACTCTGTTTCTGGTAGTCACTGGAATATTGCATGTAATATTATGACTTTCCTCTGCCAATTTATGGGCAGAGGTAAGGTGGAAAAAAAGGTGAACTCTACTAAAGAGCAGGTGACGTGGGAGGAGGACATGAAGCAGGAAGCTGACTGACTTTTCTGTTGAGTGGACAAGTGCCAAAGGGTGTTCTGGTAAAATTAACACAAGACTTGGCAATAAGTCTAGCTGGGCTCCGAACATGGGAAATTAACTACTTTAACTAAAAGGCATTTCATGGTTTTAGAAGTCATTAGTGTGACTTTTAAAATACATCTTCCTTGGATATATCAATATTTTACATGGGATCATGTGTATTTGTATATATGTCTGCTCATGCGTATGTGTCATCTTAGTATTTCTCTTACTCTGCTAAGGTTTATAATGTTTTCTTGATAGAAGTGTATGTGGCATCTGCAGATTCCATCTACATAAGACGAACCATGTTATCACTCATTTTATGTAACTTTTTTAGGTGCATCTTGTGGTTGAGTTTGCATACAGACCTGTCTAGCTATGAGAAAAAAAGTTTCTTATTTAAAAATCCAGCACTAATTTTGCCATGAATGGTTGACTTTACAGGGGAGTTTGACACAGTGCAGAGCCCCTCCACACCAATCAAAGATCTTGATGAGAGAACATGTAGGAGTTCTGGGTCAAAGTCTCGGGGTAGAGGGCGGAAGAATAATCCATCACCCCCTCCGGACAGTGACTTGGAGGTATGCCTGCGGTAATTGATGAACGGTAATGTGGAGGTTTCTTCTGATGAAAAGTAAATTCTGAAAAGTACAGCTGTGGAAATAGCTTAAAGCATTTTAGAAAACATGACAGACTCAGTCTCACTGACAATATAGCAGATAGATGTTAGTTGCTATTTTAGCATACATCTACAATGAGGTGTTAGTGTTCTGTATGACAAAGTTAGGCAGAATAGCAAATCTCGAGTATATTGTTCAGCTTAATTACGTGTATTTATGAACGCAGTGTAAATATGTGGGATCATCTGGCCGTAGCCTTTCAAATACGTAAGGACAGGTTTTTCCTCGTAAGCAATGTCGTGGATTTCCGTCAGGCAGCTTTGTGTCAGTGAAGTTATGGCTGTACTTAAGTATGTGCAAGATCAGTGCCTTACAGAAGAAATACATCTGCCTAATATATGGGGTGACGATTTAAAACACAGGTCACCTCTTAGCAACGGAGTAATTATAGTCTTATTACTCCTGTGTTACCAGCGCGCTGCCTCACAGTGACAGGAGGAGGAGGAGGGGTAGGAAGCGAAGTGCCTGTGTGTGTATGAAACACTCCAGCTCTGCATCAGGGGAACATGCTGCCTGCGGCACGCTGTGTCCCCTCCTGCCACCAGACCAGCACTGGGAGCCAGCAGCCCTGGCCAGCCCCGCTGCTGTGCCTTCACCGACCAGCTCCGGGTACAGCAGAAGACGAGACTGTTGCTGGGACTCGACTGGCCACACAGTGGATCCCGGGTTGGCAGGGTGGGCTGCAGTGCTAGGCACTGGATGTAAATCCCATTGCTTTTATTCAGGCACTTACAGATTTTTTACTTTTCAAAGGATTTAACTTTTACAGTGATAGGACTCTAATTCCTTACATTTCAGCTTTTCTTCTGTTCTATAGTTTACCAGTAAAAATGAACCCCTTATCAATATAAGGAGTTTCTTTCCTTTTTTTTTTTTTTTGAGTTACAATAATCTGTTTTATCCTACTATATTATTTAAATTCTGTATGGCATTGTATGTGGCATATAGCACTTTTACCCAAGATTTAATTTTAGCTATACAGTACAAATAAAGAAGAATCAATAGGTCTTGCAGAGAATTATCTGAGAGTACTGTTTATCCTGAAGTTAATTTAACAATTGTGTTTGACCCCCATCATGTTTCTGAAATCTGTGTTATACAGCTTTTTTGAAAAGCTTTTTAGAGGACAAATAAATGGTTGAAGAGTTCAGAAGTTACTCTCTTTCTGACTTTTTACCATGCATGATACACTGTTCTTGCTGATTTTCAGAGAAAAATGCTTGGTTCAGTGATTGGTTAAACTTTAGGACTCATTTGACATTTAGTCCCCCTGGGTGGGATGATGGTGGGACTTTGGTGTTATTTGTTTAATAATATTATCCTCGCTTCTGTTTTCAGCGTGTATTTGTTTGGGATTTGGATGAAACAATCATAGTTTTTCATTCGCTGCTTACAGGATCCTACGCACAGAAGTATGGCAAGGTATGTGAGCCATGAATTCTGCCTCAATTCACTGTATCAGAGCTGTCTGCCCTGCACATGTATGTGTTTTTCACCTTCCGTGTTCATCATGGCTTGGGTGGAGTTAGAGTGAAAGTATACAGTAAACCCCATTTTCAGAGGGCTAATGGGAAAAAGTCAAGGAGAGAGATGAGACATAGACCCTAAGCACAGTATGAGGCAGGGCTGAAGCAGGTGCTGCGAACGAGGGAAGAGTTTATAGAGGAACAAGGATGATGTTCCTGAGGCACATTGGAAGAGATGTTGCAGGGAGATAACAGATGTCATGGGCAAATGGAATTAACTGACAGTATCTGGATGCACAGAGGAAGAAATAAGAAATAAACTGGAGCGATGAGTGAATTTACAGAGAAATTAATGATCAGGATGAGTAAGTAAGAGACTGACCTGTTTCGGCGCCAGCTGCAGATGTTATTCTTTGACTCCCCAGCTCTTCCATTGAATCTTTGGTTCCCTTGGCTGGCTCTGGGGTGAGTAATGCTGGGGAGTGAATGCTGTGAATCCTTCTCCCAAGCAGACAGTTGTACGCATCCTCTCCCTCTGAGGAGATCCAAAAGGAGTTCAGGTCATAGAGCAGCGAGCAGGAGAGCAGGAGGAAGAGTGAGGGAGGCAGAGAGAGGCAGTGGCAACCTGCAGGAGCAGGAGCTCATCTGCTGAGTCAGCAGCAAGCTTCACGGGGCTGGTGGTGGGAGCCCAGGAGATGGCTGCTTGAGCAAGGGGAGAAGGGAAGACCAGTGTGTAGCAGCAGGAGCAGACTGCTGGTAGAGGTAGAGCTAAAGGGCTGGATAAAACAAACAATTAGGGTAAATGTATGAAAGGAAGAAAATGAACATGGGGAATGTTGGTATGTATGTATGTGGTTTTCTAGGTGTTGTGCCATTCAAGTGAAATTAATGCAAGGTATTTCTTTTTAAGAACATAGCCATGCCCATACTATGTCAGATGAAAGACTTGTTTAGCATGTTTCCTGTCTCTTTATCCCAGCCAGAATCACATTCAGAAAAGAATGTGAGAAACAGTACATTAGAGAAATGCTTTCCACACCCACCTCCCCATCCAATGGGTTAGAAATGTCCTAAGCTGTAACCTGTGAATTGCAACCACAGATGGGCCAGTTCTCCGTGTTTTGAGACAGCTTTTTCTGATTAGTAAAAGAGAAAGCTGGTAGGAAAGCTCACAGGCCCAAACCAAAATCAGAATTTCTGAAATGCCGAGATAAGGATGGTTATTCATGTCTTGTAGAAAACAGCCTTGCTTGTTTTGCAGCTTCACAGTGCCAAATCAGTGCATGTTTCAGTACTCTGTCAAAAACTCCTCTTCTGCTGTTTTTCAAACACTGCAACAACAGTGACTTTGTTGGAACCATTTCTAACTTATAGTTATCAAGACAAGAGAGAAACCTAGCTGAACATGAACATCAATATCACTTTGAGTGTAGCCCATAGACTGCCACAGAACTTGCTGAATTGCCCCAGTGATGAAGTCATTCATAGAATCATAGAATGGTTTGGGTTGGAAGGGACCTCAAAGATCATCTAGTTCCAACCCCCCTGCCATGGGCAGGGAAACCCTCCACTACACCAGGTTGCCCAAAGCCTCATCCAACCTGGCCTTGAACACCTCCAGGGATGGGGCATCTACAGCTTCTCTGGGCAACCTGTTCCAGTGCCTCACCACCCTCAGAGTGAAGAATTTCTTCCTTATATCCAATCTAAATCTTTCCTCTTTCAGTTTAAATCCATTGCCACTTGTCCTATCACTACATGCCCTTGTAAAAAGTCCCTCTCCAGCTTTCCTGTAGGCCCCCTTTAAGTACTGGAAGGCTGCAATAAGATCACCCCAGAGGGGTGAATGATTCATAGAATCATTCCTTTCGTCCTTTTTAGCTTGTGCCCTTAGCATGTTTACATTGCATGTGCCATCTCACGTAATATGTGAGTAAAGTCTAAGTCAACTTTAATACAAAAGTTTTAAAAAGCAGAGCACAGACTGTAGCTCACAAACATCTATGGATAACTTTGTCTTAGAGGCAGCAACAGAAATGTAATTCCTCTTGGTTTCCCCCTTTGTTACGAGGAGGGATATTTGAAAAAATTTCAGTACCACTGTTCTTTAAGAACACATCTGCTGCTAAAATTGACTCTCCCAACAGAGTCCTTGGAAAGACTAATGGCATATTAACAGCCAGTAGTACTGACAGCAGATAAAAGTTGGCTTGTATAAACCAAGAGTATCTCAAGGGCAAGTGAAATTCGTGTAGTTATACTGCTGAGATCAGCATCAGTAAACAAATGTCGTGAACAACTGTGAAGCAAAAGGAGAGGAATTCTTAAGTAAAATCCTTTTTTTTTTTTTTT